GGTCCCAGTTATTTTAGTTCGACAATAATTGGAACAGACCGGACCGATTCAAAATGAAAAATTCTCCGGTCCAGTCATATTCTCAAATTTCAAAATCCTGAAGTTTAAAATATTTTTCAAAGTTTTATGGAATTTTCGAAAATTTCAAAGTTTCGATACTTTTGTCATGGTTTTGATGTCCCAAAATCAGGAAATTTTCTTTGAAATATAATTCAATACGTTGTTTTCAAGAATTTTTAAAAAAATCAGCTTCCCGCGCCGACTGGGCCGTACCGAGCCGGGCCGGACGAATTTTTTCCGACCAGGTCACCATGGCCGGGTCGGGTCATCAGAGGTTGGTATTGTCTATTTTTCAGATTAAGGAACTGTGAAAACTAAAGCGTTTCTTCCGTTGTTGTTTGATCAGAGTCTCATTACTTCAATTATTATGGAACAAACGAATTCATACACCAGCGATGTGGAAACAATTACTGATACAAACTTTTCGAATTCGCTTGATTGAGTACTTCGATTTTTCTATAAATTCTATATAACATCTAAACTATTTTCTGTGTTTTGCGTTCTTCAATCAGAAATATCTATTTTCGAAGATTTCGTGACACAATACCCACCCTCAACGGCACATATTTCTAAGACCCATTCAAGAGTTTTTTGATTGATTAAGAGATTTCTGAAAACTGGCACGTCACTCACTTCCTGATATCTTGTTGGCATATAATTTGGAATCTAGCGCTTTCAGAAAGTCTTCGGTGAAATATTTACCCCACAATCAGCGAGAAAAAATTGTTGTCTTTTGTTATCACCTGCTATCGAGAACGTTCTTTTTCAAACTTTGTCACTCATGGAGTCCCCTGTAAATGATTCGATTCCGTTTACATGTGATATTTCATACGATTCTACTACTGAATTGATAAAATTCATAATTCAAGTCTCTTATCTGTTGCTTAACATCATTGTGAATCTGATGATTTTAAGAGTTTTCCTATTCAGCAAGAATAAGACATTCAGAGAGAGTCAGTTCTTTGTGTTTTATGCAGCCGATCTGATTGTGGTGAGTCTCGAACATTGGTTCTTTTTGAGGCACAAGATGCTTAAGGGAATTTATATGAGTTTATCCGAAATCCTAATCGGTCGTCTATTCATTTACATCACTCCCCTTTGCACAATCATTGGACCATATTTTTTCACTCCATCAATATTTCTTAAAGTTTATTTCACATTGTCTCATTATGCTCAAGGATTCAAAACAATTTCTCAAGTACTTCTAAGCTTAAACCGAATGACATCAGTGGTTTTCCGGTCACTTATTACAAAGTAATCGTGTCCCATAAGAACATCAAGAGTTTGAATTTTTACAGAGTTGGAAGAATATTCAAACTCCCAGTATGATTGTTCTGTTTGTACTGCCTGTTGGTGTGATATGGAACATTATCATATCAAGAGTGTATGTGAATCCTTCTTCTGGAGGTTTCAGTGTGAATTATATCAAAAAGGTGGAATGGGTAAGTCTAAAAATAAGACTTCAAATAATAGTGATCTTGATCAGGCAAGTTTGTCAAGACTTCATCTGGCATATTTTATTTTCTCCTTGACAATGATTATAATCTTCTCCAAAATCACACTTTGTGGCCTTTTCGTTATGAAAACCATAATAAAGAAAACCGAAACATCCATAACTGTAGCAAGAATGGTCATATCAGTTGAATTCTCATTACTTGCAATGTTCCAAGTGAATCCGTATCGAAATGAGCACGAAATTCGAAGATTATTTTCAAATTTATTTTGCTTTTTTCTCTTCAACGACATCTACCTGGAGACCCTTTCTATTGAGAGCTTTGGATTTCACTTACGATTTTTTGAATCTTTCTACAACTATCATATTTATCGCATTCAATCAGCAGCTTCGTAATGAACTTTTCCAGACATGGACCGGGAATAATAGTGCAGAAGTTTCGAGGTATGAAAAAGTGAGAGACAAGAAGTTATCGAAATTTATTGGTTTACAACTTTGAAAAGCTTTCACTCTAATTGCAGTCCAATCTAGTGTTATTAAACATCTAAAATTACATGTATTAGAAAGGGCCCTTTAATAGAAGAGCCCCTGTAACAGAAGGGCCCCCATGGTGTATCCGATATTCAACCAAGATTAAAACCTTTTTCCTTTGTTTTCAATCTTGAAAGTTCATTCATTGTTAAAGGAGGGGGACAGAAGATTTTTCGGTGTTTTTTGGAGTTAGGATATGCATTCTGAAGTAACGTTTTTGGCGCTGCACCTTCAATACTCATCCCACAAGTTCAACTCCTCGAGAGACTTCTATGAACAACATTTCGAGACAGTTTTTTTAATGCTCCCCACCTTCAATAAACGGCGATAGTTATGTTACCATTGAAATTTCCTAGTTTCTTTTTTTATGTTCAACATCAATCCTCGCGTCGAAAGTACTCTGCTATTTCCTTTTCCACTCGAATGGATTTTTCTTTGAAATGAAAAGTCAGCTGAAAATTTTTCGAAAACTAGCCGTACTGATCGTAGACCAGCGGAAGTCTGACTGAAATAGCTCAATGAAATAATCTGAAATCAGGATCACTGGCCCAGAATGATATGTTGCCGACGTAACTGATGAGTTCATTTTATGAAATGCCCCCACAAATTCTTTCAATTGATTTTTAAAACCACAGTTCTTCCAATTTCAGACACTCGAGCTCAAAGATCACAGTTCCACTCGGCCCGTCAATTTGGAAGACTCCCTCTGCGAAATAAAATATATTTTCCGCAGGAATCACCATGAAATTATTCCAACTGATGCATATCTCACCGGTCGCAGTGCTCTAATTTTCAGACAAAAAAAACGACAATAACAAGAGAGAAAATATCAGCCTTTGGGAGGTGGAACGAATTCATCCGAGGGGAATGATTAACAAAAAACAGATGAAATACGATTTTTTTTCTTGTTATTTTATAGCCTTTTTGGATCTTACTTTTTGAAAAAATGCATGTTCTAGAATAGGTTTCCATATATAACAACACTTATAAATTTGATATTTCTTTCTCATGCTCAGAACACAAGAATCGTTTATTTACCGCTACAAGTGTTTTCAATAACCAAATCTAAAAATCTTTACACTTTTGGTTCCATGAACCATTTTTCGAATAGGTTAAGAGTTATTCTAGACAAGTTTGTGTTCCGGAAGGAAGTGAAAAATCATAAAAGGTCCAAAATAAGTGTCAGCTGCACTTCAACGTCATTGTCTGAACATTATTCTATTAATGAATCGTAGTTCAAATTTCTCTTAAGTTGTGTTTTAGTTACAGTAGTCCTTGATTCATTTTTTGAACTCTTAATTTTCCAGAGGACGGCAGAAAAGCCAGACATTCTGAAAATGCCATGTCGCAAAATCATAAGTTTCTAATTTCCCGTTATTTTAAGCTCTCGTTAAGAACCAATGCTCAAACTCCTACTATGTGTTGCTCATTTACTACAGTCTTCTCAAAAACTACTTTTTGGTACCGTTACTCGTTTACTGAATCTTTGATAGTTTACTTTATTGCCCTCAGAAGCCAATCTTTTTCAAATGAACATATTAGGTTGGCTAATAAGTTTCTTTCTATTTTGGTGAAATTTTTGATCAAATTTTTCTCAATGCAGAGGGAACTAGATTAATCAATGTATTATCCATGAGCATTGACAGGCGTCTGGTAACGCCCTAGTCACTAAAGATCTCGCACTGTCGTGTTGTAAGTAAATCTTAGTCTTTTCTCCTTGTTTCGATTTGACCAGTAGATTCAATTCCTCTAATTAGGAATGATACAAAGCGGCCATTATAGTGGTGCCTTCATTTAAAAGTTCCCAGTCTCCATTCCTTTGAAAGACCACCAAATACATAACAATCCCCTTTTCACATGAAATTTAGGTTTCGAGACGTCCAAAGCGAGCTCTTTTTTGTCAATCATCTGATCCTTTTGCATATTGATAGAGTAACTTATCCACCTATCATCTACGGTAATTAGATCAGCCAGTCAACTGAACGTGGTCAGAATTGATAGGAGAAACATGCTCATGCCTACTCGGCGATCCATACCGTAGTCCTTCAAAAATGGGGTACGAATCGACTCAGTTCTTGGAGTTGTCAAGAGACTTCAATCCGTTCACAATACTTGGTTGACTATCGGGAAAAGCCTCTGACATTTCACAAGTGGTTTGAACCGGATCGGCTTCAATACGATTCTTCAATAGGGCCAAATCCAACTACCGAACCGAGCTTCGTCTTCCGATTCTAAATTTTTGGCTTCGAACCGATCGGCCCCATTCTTGATGGTAGGGACAGTAGAAGATCCTTATCTATATATTTCTTTCATTTTCTTACAAATAGCATTATTTTCTCAACCAGAAAGAAGTTAAAATAAAACGCAGTTTTGGAAGTGAAGAAAGAAAGCGGCATGCTCGCAAACGACAAGAAGGAGGAGTTAGCCAACGTATACAGAGCAAGTCCGTGAGATACTCTATCCAACAAAAAAAATCCGTCAAGAACAACAATCCCACTGACCAGTTATGAATCTTCAAAGTTTAACATTCAAAATCGAAAGAAACTTATTAGCCAACCTATTATCAACTTAATGTGCCGAGTAGCTTCCGATACAGGCGGCGCATAATCACTCGGACTGATAAAAACGTGTATATCTTTTGACATAAGTATCCTGTAAGCACAAAAATTGGTAGAAATATAATTTTACGTTTGATTTGAAGATACTGAAATTTCAAAGCGATTCCTCAAGGCAATTTGAGCTCAGTACAATACGTGCTATGCTATTAGAAACTTTATTCCGCGTAATTATGCACCATTTTGTAGATTGTAAATGAGGGAGAGTCGTAGTTGAAACAAAAGTTAGAGAAAACAAAAAATTAAAATTAGAGAAACGGTAGTAAATGAGCAAAAGTATAAGTAGTAGTTCATCAAAAGAAGTGAAATTTAATTACCGAAAACCAATCTAGTTTCCAGAAATGAGCAAGTTCACATTACCAGCGAATTTCTCTTACGATGATCCACTTCCATTCACTTGTAATGAAAACCCGAACCTGCCAGTTTCATTAGCCATGTACGGTATTCAAGCAAGTTATCTGATCCTTGGAGCTGCTCTTAATTTCCTTATTGTTTTAACTATTTTCAAATCGAAAGGAAGTACATATCGGCATAATTCATTTTATATTTTGTATACAGCCGATGCTGTTATGGTAAGAAATAAAGTAGTTCTGTAGTTCTGTAGTGTGAAATACTTCTGATACCCTAGTACTAGATAAGTTCGAGGCATATTGAGATGCACCAGAATTAGAACAATAGCAATTTGCTGTTTTCAGGGAATTTACATAAATCTCGCGGAAGTATTCTTCGGCCGGCTTTTTATTTACATCACTCCATTATGCCCAATTATAAGTCCATACTTCTTCTCGCCTTCTGTAGTGACAAAGTTTTATTATGCTGCTGTTCACTATAGTTTGGGATTCAAAACATTCTCCCAAATATTCATGAGTTTCAATCGAATGACATGTGTCATTCTTCCCATGAAGCACCAGAAAGTAATGAACATTTTCAAGCTTCTAAAAAAATTTAAATTTTCAGTTATGGAGAAAAATATTGACTCCAGTTTTGGTGACTTTGTTTATCCTTCCATTGGGTGTTATATGGAATATTTTGATTTCGAGAGTCTACATAAATCCCAACGGTGCTGGTTTCTCTGTTAACTACAAAGATACGATTCCATGGGTATTTCGAAAAAATCTCAATATCTGAAAAAAAAATTTCAGGCCAGCATCTCCCTGCTTCATCTGATTCACTGTACCATATGTTTTGTGTTAGTGATAATCTTTTTCAGTGTAACCATTTTTGGATTGGCAACGCTGAAACAAAGGATCAAGAGTGCTGAAAGATCGTTGACCATTGTTACAATGATAATGGCTGTACAAACTATGATTTTCGCATTTATTCAGGTTCTTTTTTTAATTCTGAAAAAAAAACAAATAACATAAGGACCCTGATACTGTCAAATTTGAGCTCAATTATCTCAATTCCTGAAAGACATCAAAAGTGTGTCAACTGACAAAACACTTCTGATATTATGATAAACAATTTATCTGTTGAAAACTCTTTTATAGCTTTTATAGGAACTGAGATAAATTGACTCAAAGTTAAAAAGTAGCGGGCCCTTCTATTACAGGTTTTACGGTATATCACAGATGGTTCAGAATTATCAGCAAAAATCATAAAAATACGAGTAGAATAAATTTTCAGATCTACTTTGCCTTCCTCGCTGTTTACACGCCCAGCATCCGCGGAATCCTTCTTATGACTGTCTCCTTTGTCTTCGATTCAATGAACGTCTTCGGTCCAATCGGATTGATTGTGATGAGCCAACAACTTCGAAAGGATGTGTTCCATCTGAAGAGTGTCGAAACTCAACCATCTTCAAGGTTCTATTGTTCAGAAATTTTGAAATTTTGTGTTTATTTTTCAGAAGTATATCTACCGTATCTCATCATCAACCACTTTCTCGTGCAATTTCTACAGTAATCGCGCCTATTTCTTCCTGATTTTTGAATTTTTTAAAAATTGGTCCGTAATAATAAAGATTATTTGTGTAGATTGAATTTACCAAATACAAAAATGTCCTCTTCTCAACATTTGCACTGGGGTGGAACTGAAAAAAGTACATGTATAGGCATGAGTCGTCACACTTTTTTGTATCTGCTGAATCATTTCGAATTGAGCCCATTTGATTTGTGCATGCTTCGATGAAAAGTACAAGCTTTCTTGTTTGTTTCTGATCCTAAACATAAACTAGCTTTGATTTTAGATTTTAAATTCTCTTGCATCAATGCATTTGCGATTTGTTTTGATTTTTTGAAAAAAAAATTCTTGTAACAGACTACTCTCTTTATGAGCACTAAATTCATTATTCCCTATAATTTCTTAAATGCTGACTCACTTCCATTCGAATGTGCGGAAGATGACAACGTTGCATTGCCTGTAGGATTGTACCTATTACAAGCATCTTTTCTGACATTGGGAATTGTTTTGAATGCTCTCATAATCAAAAATATTATGATGCAAAACAAGGTTATTTATAGAGAAAAAGCTTTCTATATTTTGTACACTGCAGATGCAATTGTGGTGAGTTTTCGAAAAAACGTTCGGGATGTGACAATTTGGAATACCGTAAACACTCGAATAGAATCAAAAATATTTTATCAGTTTAAAACGTTTTGATATCTGCGACTGGAACCGAGATTAATTGGCTCAAAGTCTAAAATTAGGCGGTCATTCTATACGAGTGTTTACAGTAATCTGAAAAACTAAATGAATTGGAACTAATTCAAAAAGTATTGGAAAAGCAGCAGATGCGGAACTACCGTCTAATAGAGCGGCATTAGAGATGTCCGGACTAACTTTTTCCAGAAACTGGATCTGGGATTCCAGATCAAAAAACATTCATATCACGGAATCCAGAAAAAGTAATCCAGAAAGAAAAAAACATGAAGTCCGGACATTTCAACTGTGGAGAAAAATGCCAAAAAACAAAAGTGGTGATCTATTCTTATATCCTTTGTTTAAAAACAAGTTATCGTGTCAGAGCTAATTTAGCAAACATGTTTGTTGAAAATTGATAGACCGTGTTTCTCGGAATACGGAATGCGGAATTCGAAACAAATTTTTCTAAGAAATCTGAAATCTTTTCTAATTTTCTAAGGAATCTGAAATCCGGAAAAAAAGCGTCGGACATTTCTGAGCGGCACTCCTTCACTTTCATTTCGATTCTTCTTTCTTCGATTTCATTCAAATGTTGTTTAATAACATTAGAGGAAGTGGATTGGTTCAACAGGGAAAAGTCCGTTTTGGAGTTTATTTTTATTTATTCATTTATTTCAACGAAGGGGAGAAAACCACTAACACGTGAAATGTCTATTTTCTACATTTGATACAAGGAGATGATCGATTTTGGGCGAATTTTTGTCGCCAGTTACTCCCCCACATGGTGTTTTCGCACTTTTTGGACAAGAACTCATTTTGTACTTAGAATATGCAAACTCAAACAAATATTTTCTAGTGACTTTTTTACGCTGATTTTGAATCTGGCATTATCTTGTTCACAATAATGCTAACATTTTTCACAACGACAGATTTTTAGTGATTTTTTTCTAAACCGGTTGAAAAATCAAAATTTTCAGCTGAAAGGAAAAGAACTGGAATGTGGTGGGCAGTATGT